CCATAAATCGAAAATAAAGAAAGTGTAAGAAGTGCAAACAAGTAAGACGTGCAAGCAGTTAAGTGACAATTTTTTTACTCATATTAATTATATATATATATATATATATATATATATTATTATTATTATTATTATTTATATATTATATGTGCGGTAGAAAGCGCTCAATATCAGAGATAGAGCTAACATATTTGGTTGGATAGATGTGAGTTTGTGACCCTGGGTTTCACGCTTTGACGATCGTCAAAGCGTGAAACCCAGGGTCACAAACTCACATCAATCCAACCATATATATATATATATATATATATATATATATATATATATATATATATTATATGGTGATTTTCAGCTCAGCTCAGATGTGGCACAAGGCTCCCAGTGAGGATCGAACTCACTTTTCAGTCGTAATTGATCTAGCGAGAGAAGCTTTAACTATTACACTGCGTTGATGTGCCAACGTATGCATGTATGTATATATGTATAAAATCGGTTTTGAACGTTAGATCATCCACAATAAAGTTGCGTCCTGGTTTTTACAACATTTCACCTTTCTTGGTAGATCTACTATTATCACAATGTGTGACGCTTAATAACAAAGAGGATAAAACAAAAAAAACTGAATGAAATTCGCTACAAGACATGCCCAGACACACGATAATCTTAATGTTTAAAATGCCAGCGTTCCAACATTTTCAGCGTTCCTTGTCGTTGCATAATTATATTAGTGATACTTGCGTTTCTATACCCCCCTTCTTACACATATATAATTTTGTGTCCAATGGAGTACTAAAGTTCGAAACACAATTTCTTTCCACGATGTTATTCAGGGTGAGACAAATGTAGGTATATAATTGCTTAATTATACTGGCCAATACTATTTTTGTTGCCAAGAAACAAAACACGCTAATTTGATTCAATACGGAAGGAAACCAAACACATTGAGAGCATTTTGTTTTTTCACTTGGAAAGAAACTCCAACTAAAGATATCCCAATTCCATTGTACATGATACTGCTGGAGTATCAAAAGGAACTTAAATAACATTGAAAATGACAGACAATCAAAAAAGGAAAAAATTATCCAATAGTTCTCATGTTCACGAAGGTTTTATTTCTGCTGTTAGTTTATTAAATGATTTCATGAAAATCCTTGTTGGTCTTGGTATGTTGAATTGTGTTATTTTTAAAGACTTAGGGTCTGATCGTTACTGAAAAAATAGCATTTCTCAATAAGCAGACCAATATGTGTTTGTCTAAATACGAATTGAGAGGTCTCAACGATTTTATTTTGAGAAATATTGCCATCGGTCAATATTATATATACAAAAAAAAAATGAAATAATTTTTTTTCCAAAAATGAAGCAGTTCTGTATAGCGAAAACGGTTGCTAAGCATGAAAAAGTAAAGTCATTTTCAAATTCAGCGACCTCAAATTAGTTTTAAAAGTTGTTTGGTGTTTCGACACCATTTCAATTTTTTTTGACCAGTGTTATTTATATGCTGGCCAGACATTGGTGGATCTGTGAATTGATAGATTTGCTTCGTGACTAGGTAATCTAACAATTCAGAACCAGAGACATGTCCCAGGCGAGGATATATTCCCTAAAAGAGAAACAACGAATCTTGGTGTTTTTCAATTTGAGGACTACGAGCTGGAGTTTCTTTCTATATCTGGGAAATAAATATTCTCAAAGGGAAACGGCACCATGGACTTGTAAGCTGCTGGGGAGGCAGATTTAGCCTCAGCCTGGGCCATGGGGGGACACGGCTAAAGAAAGCAACATTTCGGTTTGATTGCTATAAACAAAACCTGAATTTGACTGCAGCTTACGTCACCGTATGGAATGACATCACTAAGCAGTTGTCATGTGATACATGTGACTTCTCTGCACCAAAGAAAAATAATGGCTTTCTGTAATGATTAAATGACAAAATATTTGAATTTTTAAAAGTCATTTATTGCTTAGGCCGAGAAATTTAAATAAGATAATTTTGAATGTGTTAAAACTTCGAAATAGATCATTTTGAACGTCTTAATCTGAAAGAAACACACAACAGTCAAATTTTTTTTTTTTGGTTTTTGTTTTTTAATTAATACGAAAACAACTCACCCGCTTTAATTATGGCAGTATAAACTTCTGAAAGTTTTCTACAAAAGACAATCATTCTGCAACTTCTGCTTATGAGTCGACCTTCCAGGCCCGAACGGCTCAACAATATTTAACGTTTCTACATCCCCTCTTTAAAGGGTCATCTGAGCACTTCATGACCTTACCAAGGACCAGAACTTTACTAGGATTTCGTGCTCCCCACGAAACATAGACCACTCTATTAAATCTCAATTTTCATAAGGTATTAGTCAAATAAAAATGTTATTGTAATCTAAGTATGGACAATAATGCAATATAGGGGAACAATTTAACTAGAAAATTGAAAATAAATACAATGTGTCTACAAATCAGAGACGTGTGATAATAGATCATTCCATCTTAAATAAAT